ATTGAGCTGATTTTTGGTATCCAAAGGTGATTTATCAATTTTAATCACCCTGTAAAATTTCAGCTCAAATGGATCAAGGGTTCAAGCACTTCCTTTGCAAATTTTCAAACAAGACAGAAACTTGCATTGGATCATGTGCTCAATTTATGATCTATGGGACAAGATATAATGATGAAAATGGTGAAGATATAGCAAGTACAAGCTCCACAAATTATTTGATAATTTTCCTTGCTATAAAAATGGTAGCTCCTTTGAAAAGTGGCAGAAATGGAATATTGTCTTAAAATAGGAAAAGGTAATTTTCCTCATTTAAATATGGCCAATACTTTTGCCAGAGCTTGTATTAGGCATAAATATCATCTCCACAAATTTTCACGAATTTAGGAGATGGCTAGCTGTGCCTTTGTATTTTATTCCTCGAAAAGACAAAAGAAGGAATAAATCCCAACTGGAAATATTGCATATGACTTAGCAATATTTTTGCATATCCAAGGTTTGGTGGGGTAGGAGGATCTCTGGGAACATTTGTAAGATCAACAGATCAAGGGAAATGATGGCTCTTTTGTAAGCACAAAGGAAATATCCAAACTCCAAAATTTGGAATTAGGGTTCTGAGAGGGTTGGAGATAATGCAAATGATGTCTTGCCCACTAACAAAGACATGAGAAAGATTTTGAAAAGTTGAAAATGACAAGGATTATTAGAGTCATCCAGCAAATTAAAGATAAAGATTTGTAGAATGACTGCTAGGAAGGAATAATAGCACAGAAATTGATAACCCAATTTTGGGGCTATTACATTCAGCGTTCCTACCTGGAAAAGCGCATCGGCAATCTCCTTCTCAGAGAACTCCCGACAAAGGACCTCATTCATTTCTGGTGAAACTTTTTGCTCAAACAGCCACACAATCTCCCTTGGATTAAGACTAGGATCACGAGTAAACAAGTCTTGAAAATAATCAGTAGCCATAGCTTCTAATTGTGCCGAGTCCGTGACCCAATTTTCTTTCCCCGCCACACAACTTTCTTCTCGAAGAACTTAGTGTTGCGATCACCCTCTCGTATCCAGTTAATGTGTGACCTCTGAAGCCATAACATTTCCTCTTTGTAAAGAAATTCATTTAGCTCATCATTAACCTTACGGATTGCATCCTTATCAGCCCCAGAAGCAAGAAGTCGGTCCAGCTCAGCCCGCATCTTTTCCAACTTGCGTAAAATGTTCCCAAAATGGCGCTTACTCCATGCTTGGAGGTCGTTCATAACTGAGCGGAGGCAGCCCTGGATGGCAGCTAGATCTTGCTTATCCCCCATAGCTTGCAATGCATGATCGATGATCTCTGGCAAGTCCGAAGCTCGCTCCCAAAAGAGTTCGTACCGTCGGCAGCGTCGTTTGTTCTGTACCGACTGTTCAGGAAGTAAACGAATTAGTAACAAACAATGATCAGAACAAGAAGATACCACATGTTCCACCACAACATGCTCGAAGATATCGCGCCACGCATCATCCGCAACGAGGCGATCCAGGTGCACCTTGATGTTGCGCCTCCCCCTTGTTCATTATCATATGTGAATGACACTCCCTTGAAGCCCAAGTCAGCCAAACTACACTCTTCCAAAGCATCACGGAAAGCCGTCATCTGAGACTCTGCACGACTCGTGAGGGAGAAGTGCTCAAACTGCCAAAGAGTTTCATTGAAATCCCCCACCACAACCTAAGGGAGATTGGACGTGGCTTTCAGTTTACGAAGTTTGTCCCACATCAAGTGTCTATTTTCAACTCTGGGCTCTCCATAAACGTAGATCAGTCTCCATTGCACATCATCCGGAGAGACTCGCACATACATGTCAATATCTCTCACATTAATATATTTAACCTCTACAAGCATTTGATCATCCCAAAGTAGAGCTAAACCTCCACTGTAACCAACACTACTCATTCCGGCAAAGCCACAAAGACCCAAACGTCTGCACAAACGCTTAACTTTCTCTTTATTTTGCCTAGTTTCACAAAAAAATAAAACATGGGTGGTGAATAGAGTTGAGAGATACAAGATCTTGAACTGTCCGGAAACCCCCAATTCCCCGGCAGTTTCACACCAGACAATTCATGGTGACTGACGGGGATCCACATATGGCCCCGTCAGTGTACCAGCGCCCCCGTGGCTGGCTACCTCCAAAGTATCCAGCTCCTGCCTCTCAGTCATGGCGACGTCATGCGTCACTGCCTCACCTCCAACAATTCCCTGCTTCCATGTTGTGCCCTCTGTTACAAGACTCTTGCTACGTTGATATGGATCTACAGCGAGAGACATGTCAATATACTTGCCACATGTGAAATCATCCTCTGCCCCCCGCATGGACCATGGTTTCCTTGGTTGCTGGCTTCGGGCGAGCGACTCCCTCACCGGGTGTCCCATGATTGCCCCCACCGGCCGCCAAGTTCGCTGTAAGATCCATCATTAGCCACGCCAAACATGAGTAGCCCGTCTGGTAGCCTCCCTCGAAGACTTCTTGCAGCAAGGTACGATCTGGCGGCTTCTTCGATCTTGGATCCATCTGTACTTTTACGGCGGCTCGAGGTTCCTTCAAATATTCTAGCGCACTTCCGTGATGCCCTCCTGGTTCTCGATCCTTGACGTTAACGATCTCAGAGTCCCGATTCACCAAAGCAGCCTCCTTCCCATGATTATCTGACCTAGGCATAACAAGAACCTTCTCAAGAGGCTCGCTTCCACGTTCGTCCGAGACACAGGCGGACGAAGTCGCAACAGTACCGCCCGGCAATCCAGCATCATCATTGTTAGAAATGCTCTATTGCACTTGATATTTTTATTGAACAGTACAGACGCAGACGCTCATACATATGCACATACTCATCTCTATGAACGCACGCACGCACAAACTATCCCTATGAGCAACTTCGAGAGACCGAGCCGGCATATCATCTTGAGACCGACAAAGTCGCTACAGACGCTTTCACAGTCGGCGGGAACGCCTCCTCCCGTTGGACGCACGTCGCCGGAAGGCCAGCCAGGAAAATGGGAGCACCAACGTCAAGCGTGAGACTTGAACTCTGGTAGGCAGGTGATACCACTGTCCTCCTAACCGTCCATCCATAGGTTGTCATTCGATTTTTTAGTTAATGCTAAAGTGTAAAATGACATAGAAATGGCGCAAAGGTCTATAAATGACTAGGTAAGTGCGTGAACCAACTTATAGGGGGACAATGATATCACCAGCCACCAGGGTTTAAGTCATATACTTTGACATTAGTGATCGCATTATTCCTGAATTTATTTCAGGATTCCGGCGACGTTCGTTCGATGTGATGAGAAGTTCCTCTCGAGTGCGAGGCGCCTGTGCTGACTTCATGAAATCTCAAGACGTTATGCCGGTTCAGTCTCTCGGAGGTGCTCACAGGAATAGGACGTGAGAGTGAGTGTATGCTTGTGTATGTGAGTGACTTTCATTGTATTGTGTTAAACAATAAGACTAGGCAAGTACGATTGCCCGTATATGTTTGTTGAAGTCAGATATTGCTCCACAGAACTTGCTGAACAAGAAGCCCCGAATACATGATCACGATCTTTCATCTCATCCGTGAGCGAAAGGCAGACAGGGCGCGTCGGTGGCATGCGGAAAGAAACCCCGGGAAGGCCCGAGACTTGTTGACAAAGACACAACATATTCTGTTCCCCACGAGAAGGAGAAAAGATAACGCATCCATCCAAGCCACCCACCCAGATACCCACACGGCCACGCGGGGGCCAGCGGTCAGGCAGGCCAGCTGCGTGCGTCACGTGGTCAACTGACCTCGCCCACGCGATTCGGTGCGGTGCAGCAGCCAGAGCGAACCAGCCAACAGCAGACCCCCTGCGCCCGCGCCCGCGCCCGGTCGTTACCCACCCGGACGCAACCGAGCCGAGATCCATCCATCCCCAACCGTGCATTCCTCGCGCCCCCCACCACCCAGTCACAATCCCCTTTCTTCCCTTCCAAGAATAGAGGAACCCCGGCGCACCCGACCTCCTACCCGCGCCGCCGCTGACGCCTGGGGCCCGCGCGCCCGGACGACGGTGCGATCCGACGGAGCCGGCAGCCTCCTTGTTTTCTTTCGTGTTTTCCAGGCAGTGGCAGAAAAATCCCATCCCCCGGGGCCGAAATAAATACCAAAAATCAGCGGCGCTCTTTCTCTCTCCCCTCCCCTGTCTCTCTCGTCTCGAGCGAGGAGGTGTATTTTATTTTAGCATATATTTTCCTCTGGGGTTGCCGCCTGGCTGGTCCGTCTCGCGCCGCTTATTTTGCCCTGCCCTCATAACTTTCGAAAGGCGAGAGGCGGCGGCGGCGGAAGGAGGAGGACGACGAGGTGCTGCCGCGGCCTAGGGTTTCCTCCGACCAAGCGAGACGCGGAGGCGCCACCTCCCTCCCGGGCGGGTCGCAGGTGACTATTTCCCGACGAATCTTCTACGCCGCCTGGGTCTGGGGATTAGTTTTCCTTCGAGCGGTTGCGGTGCTGGCTTCTGGCGTCGGGAACGGAGGTGGATTTGGGGGGCTCTTCTGCGGGTCGCGTAGGTAGATTTGGTCGTGTTCGGGGTCGAATTTCTGCAGCGGCGCTGTTCGATTCAGGGCGTGTTTGATTGATTGCGCGATTCGTTCTCGCCGATTTTTCCTAAATTTGGGCGAAGAATATTGTGGATTTCTCCTTTATTCCCTTCTTCCGGATGATTTGAGCGGCTCATCTCGTCGGTATCTTATGCTGCGTATTTTTTCCGAAGGTTAGGGGTAGGGTGCCTACGTGTTTCGGTGCAGATGTTTCCGAATATTTTGGATCGAAATCTCCTAATATTGGCGCCCTATTTCTTCTCCCCAAGACGGGAGGGAAGAGGATTTGATCCATTCTAACCTGCTCTGGTTTTGTCTATTGTGATTCAGGACCTCGTTGGTGCGAGCAAGGCGGAATCTACGGTGACCACCCCTTCTGATTCCGGCAGCCACGTCCCCATGCCGACCATCACGCACTACGTCTTGGACCCCTTCCTGGAGACCGGCTCCCTTCCCAACCTCCAGAAGCTTGTTCCCAAGCCGCCTCCAGCGGCGCCGCTACCCCCTGAGAAGTCCTCCGAGAAGCCCATACCTGTGCCGGTGGCTCCTGCCAGGACCACCACCTTGCCAGCGCTCTACTCCACGCCCGAGAGCACACCGCTGCCAGACTCGCCGTCATCGTTCCCTGGAACCTGGTCGCCGTATCTCATCAACCATAAACGTCGTGGACCTGGCCTGATCAAGACATCTTCCCAGGGTGATGTCGGAAGTGAGGGTAGCCTGCCGAAGTTTCCCGAGGGGCTACCTGCTTTGCCGAAAAGGTCTGAAGCCTTTCAAGTGCAGGAGTCTGAGTTTAGGTTCACACAAGAGAGTGATGGTGTGGTTAACAATGGTGTGGAGGAGACCTTGGATGAGCAGAATGAAGGGGTGCAGAAAGGCAAGGTGACCCTTTTTGGCCAAGATGAGCAGGATCAGCCCGAGTTCGAGTTTCAGCATGAAAGTCCAGATGTGTTGATGAGACCTGTCAATGTTGGAAGGCTTGTCAATGTTGCAAGGCTTGTCAACAATGGAATGCCAAGAAATGGCGAAAATGATGCCTTCTTGGAACCTCAGGATTCACAGAGTGTGACTAGTAACTCCGAGGCTGAGGATGCTGGTGGGCAGGGGTGGTGGAAGCCCAGTTCTCCTTATGGGACGTCTGCTGGCACACCTGGTGCAGAATTTTATGACGCATTCGAAGGTACCACTCGGTTTATGCTAATGCTATGCTTTGCCCATTTGTTTTTAGCAGAGTAGACTCTTGTTTAGATATCTTAGATTGAAGATAGCAATTAGTTTGTGTATATGCTTTGCATCTTCTTTGAACTGATCTCTCTGGTCGGTTGTTCCTGTTTACCCGCAACAACAGTTCTTGAGCTAAAACTGGAATCTAAACACTTATTTAGATATCGTTGGTTGAGGATAGCAATTATTTTGTGTATATGCGTAGCATCTTGCTTTAAACTGATTTCTGTGGTTGGTTGTTCCTGGTTGCCTGTAGCAACAATTTATATCAGTTATAAGCTGGAAATAGTGAAACAAATTAGCCCCCAAAAAAGGAACTCCATAGGATAGAATACTCTTGGTTTAGTTCTCTATATATTCCAGAAGCTCAGAGTCATGTTTCCTGTGCAACTTGCTACTGCAGTTTACTATGATATATTGTTGAACATACTTCTCTAGTGAGTCAGTCCTGGCCTATATGTTATTTGCCTTTATGCTGATGCAACACATGTTTCTGATAGCGTTTGCTAAGATGGGCATTCCTAGGTTTCAGGCACTGACTTGGTTCCTAACATAATATTATGATGTTTATATAGGCTATATGCAGGTTTATTGTGTGTTATCTTCCTGTGGCTGAACTGTTATCATCTCAGTGTTTCTTTATGGCTTCCTATATTTGGTTGAGGCCTTATAGTCAATGTGCATCTGTCTCATATGTTTCTTTTGGGTTGGGTGTAGTCTGTCTTCTATTATTGAACCATGTGAACCAATCACTGCTAGCAGTATGGCCATGAGCTAAAGTCATTTATTAATGAATATGTCTATGATCTAAAAGTAATACTCCTAAGTGATATATCCAAGATTTCTTTATGCTGCATGCATAGTTTGTCTAATCACTTGGTTGTATTCTGCTATTGATGAGATTATCTTTTGCCTCCTAATTTGACATGTATGCTTGTTGTTTAATTTATAATGCTTCATTGCACTAATTCAGATTTGTTTAAAATGTAGAAATATCAAGCGATGGTGCAACTCGATCTTCTCGATGTGTTGATGATGAGTACCGTGAAATGAGGTTAAGCATGTTGACAGAAATTGAGGGTAGGAAACAAGCTGAGGAGGTAGCTGAGACCTGGCAAAAGGAATGGAAAAAGCTGAGTCATCACCTATCGCTGATCGCCTTGTCACTTCCATCTCCAACTGTAGCTGAGAACGATGATGATACAAGTGCGGATCCTGGAGCCGAGTTGTGCCAACAAATAACTGTTTCACAACTGGTAGCCGCTGCTATTGCCAGGGGAATTGCTCGTGTAGAAGTTGAATCAGAGATGGAAAGTGTAATTTCAGCAAAGAACTTTGAGATCGCAAGGCTATCAGATAGGGTCCAGTACTATGAAGCAGCAAACAGGGAGATGTCTCAAAGAAACCAAGAAGCTATCGGTACTCATACTGAACTCAATACATTAATCTATGCATTTTGTACATATTTTTACCTAGTACTCCCTCCGTTCACTTCTATAAGACGTTTCAGGCGAGACCTTTATTTATTTATTTTAATAAAAGTTGCGGTGCGGTTTTACCCCACTGTTTATAGTAAAAAAAAGACGTTTCAGACAGCTCACGTTGAACTGTTCTAGGTGATGTCTGAATTGTCTACAACGTCTTATAAAAGTAAACAGAGGGAGTAGTATTTGTTAGCTTCCTTGTTGGTGTCAACTGTTAATCTTATTGCACATAAGCAGAATTTTTCCTTATTGAATTAACCAGACATGCAGTGTTATGTAGTTGCCTTGATCCTTGATGTATGCATATCATGCTATTAGCTGTTGTGTGAGAAACATTCATTGGAAGATTCAAAATGAAATGTGGTTTTAGACTTGTCCTAAATGTTTTCCTCTTATGTCTTACAGAGATGTCCAGGCAACAGCGGAACAAGCGTAAGATGAGGCAGAAGTGGTTCTGGGGTTCAGTTGGCATAGCAGTTACCCTTGGCACAGCAGCCATTGCCTGGTCCTACATGCCCGCAAGCCAGTCCCAGGCAGGGGACTCGAATAGCACCAACACCAACAGCGATTAGAGCTAGCTGAAGATGCATCTTCTCCATGCAGAGGTCCTAACGAAAGCTCTAACTATACTTCCTAGAGAGAAAAGAAGCTTGTATAAGTTTTCTCTTTTGGTGATCGGCTGTGATCACTACAATCCTCATTTGCCGCTTCCTCTGTAAAAAAAAATGTGGAATGGGCCATCTCCGTCCAGGATTGGCTCGGCTCCCCCTTACCGTAAGTCCCTCGTTGCATAGTTGGTTGAGCAAAATAATACGAGGAATGTGGATATGAGTAGTAATCGTCCATGGTGAACTCAAATGGAGTTGATTTTGACAGTTGCAGTTTTGATCTGGGTCTTGTTTACTCGAGCAAGATTTCATTGCCGTGAAGTTTCTGTAGGTTTGATTATATGCCTGTTATTTTACGTTTCTGTGTTTCTCAGTTGCTTGGAGCTTCCATTTTGTTGGTGGCACTACCGCTCTTACAGCTCTCTCTTCTTTTTTATGGGTAGTCTGGCCAGCAAAGAGAGAGAGGAGAGGGCGATTCCAGCCTTACTGTGCCCTTTACCTAGCCAATGGTACTCCACCCGAAAGACGTTGTTTTCTACTCCTTCGGCTCTTTATTCAACCAACCTCTTTAAACTCAGCAGCCGACATAGCTTGCCCCGCGCCTCGTCTTAAGCAAGAGGAGTAGGACCTGTCTGTTGCCAGTAGGGCTTGGCCCGGTTTCTATAACTCTCTGTGCTCGTGGTGATGGATTGCAAGGCTGTTCTGGGTGGGGCTCCAACCGATACTGCTTCAACGATTTTTAGATATCATTTCAAGGAGCGAGTGGCTGTTGTGGTCTTTTAAAGCCTGGTACGAAGAGGATGTTTGCATGTGTTGCTTTTTTGTGCTGTTGATTTAGTGTAATTTTTAATTTTTGATTGGTGGCATGCAATTAGAGGAAGAAGACTAATATGGTTTTGAATGTGATTTATTTTTTATTGATTGTTCTACGTTCAATTGTTTATCCATTGTACTAGAATGCTTTTGGGTAACTATTAAAAAATTCAATCCCCATGGGTGAAGAATTTTTGGTCGGCAAATTCGAAGGAATCATTGAGTGAAAAAGGAGCAAAGAATGACAAAAGACGAGACTCTACTAGTCTTCACTCTTGTGGTTTCCTCTTCCTCGGTTTCTGTTTTCTTATTCGGGATCTTGCTTTTCATGGTTCTCATCTCTGCAACTCGCGATTTTCGCGAGAGAACCAAATCCAAGTTGGTGAAGATCATGATTTGGGCCGGCACGGTATTGGGATCGTTTGATAGATTTCCTTGATTTGATCGCTACTTAATAGGCGTGCGCTCAAAGAATACAAACAGGGTCGCAAACAAAAAGGGGATGCCATTTGGGCTGAGGTGCTCCTTACAATCTCCGGAGTTTCAGAAACATTGATGATCCTAGATTTGGCATCCTCAGGACATGGTAGTACCTGATAGATTTGAATCATTGTAGAATCTGTTGGATTTGTCACTCTCAGAAGCATTGTATTCCCTCTGTAAACTGGGAAGCACGTGTTCACCCGACTGATATTTTCATGCGCGTCGACTGTTGGAAATATGCCCTAGAGGCAATAATAAAATGGTTATTATTATATTTCCTTGTTCATGATAATTGTCTATTGTTCATGTTATAATTGTGTTATCCGGAAATCGTAATACATGTGTGAATACGTAGACCACAACATGTCCCTAGTGAGCCTCTAGTTGACTAGCTCGTTGATCAATGGATGGTTACGGTTTCCTGACCATGGACATTGGATGTCATTGATAACGAGATCACATCATTGGGAGAATGATGTGATGGACAAGACCCAATCCTAAGCATAGCACAAGATCGTGTAGTTCGTTTGCTAGAGCTTTTCTAATATCAAGTATCATTTCCTTAAACCATGAGATCGTGTAACTCCCGGATACCGTAGGAGTGCTTTGGGTGTATCAAACGTCACAACGTAAGTGGGTGACTATAAAGATATACTACAGGTATCTCCGAAAGTGTCTGTTGGGTTGACACAGATCGAGACTGGGATTTGTCACTCCGTATGACGGAGAGGTATCTCTGGGCCCACTCGGTAATGCATCATCATAATGAGCTCAATGTGACCAAATGGTTGGTCACGGGATCATGCATTATGGTACGAGTGAAGTGACTTGCCGGTAACGAGATTGAACGAGGTATTGGGATACCGACGATCGAATCTCGGGCAAGTAACGTACCAATTGATAAAGGGAATTGTATACGAGATTGCTTGAATCCTTGACATCGTGGTTCATCCGATGAGATCATCGTGGAACATGTGGGAGCCAACATGGGTATCCAGATCCCGCTGTTGGTTATTGGCCGGAGAGTTGTCTCGGTCATGTCTGCATGATTCCCGAACCCGTAGGGTCTACACACTTAAGGTTCGGTGACGCTAGGGTTATTAGGAAGACTTGTAAGTGATTACTGAATGTTGTTCGGAGTCCCGAATGAGATCCCGGACGTCACGAGGAGTTCCGAAATGGTCCGGAGGTGAAGATTTATATATGGAAAGTTGTCATACGGTCACCGGAAAGGTTCGGGGGCTTATCGGTATTGTACCGGGGCCACCGGAGGGGTTCCGGGGGTCCACCGGGAGGGGACACCTCTCTCGGAGGGCCTCATGGGCCGTAGTGGGCAGAGAACCAGCCCCTGGAGGGCTGGGCGTATCCCCCCTTGGGCCCATGCGCCTAGGGTTGGGGGGGGGAACCCTAGAGGGGGCACCCCCTTTGCTTGGGGGGCAAGCCCCCTCCCCTTGCCCCCCCTCTAGATCTCATCTAGAGGGGGGCGGCCCCCTTCCCCCTTTCCCTATAAATAGAGGGGCGAGGGGAGGGCTGACGAACACACCAAAGGCGCAGCCCCTCCCCTCCCCAACACCTCTCCTCCTCCGTTAAGAGCTTGGCGAAGCCCTGCCGGAGTACTGCCTCTCCACCACCACCACGCCGTTGTGCTGCTGCTGGAGCTCTCTTCCTCAACCTCTCCCTCCTCCTTGCTGGATCAAGGTGCGGGAGACGTCTCCACTCCGTACGTGTGTTGAACGCGGAGGTGCCGTCCGTTCTGCACTAGGATCTTCGGTGATTTGGATCACGACGAGTACGACTCCATCAACCCCGTTCTCTTGAACGCTTCCGCTCGCGATCTACAAGGGTATGTAGATGCACTCCTATCTTTCTCGTTGCTAGATGACTCCATAGATTGATCTTGGTGATGCGTAGAAATTTTTTATTTTCTACAACGTTCCCCAACATCGACCGCCTCGGTGGGTGTTTGATCTGTTGTTGATCGGACGGTCATGAGCCACCTAGATCGATAGGGATCACCAAGCCACCACCGAATGTCGGCGATAGTGCCTGAGTATGCCAACTGAACCCACCTACTTCACGTTCTTGCAACTCCACCCCTGTTACCCTTCTTGCAACTTCATTGCTGCCCCGCTTCACGTTCTTGCAACCCCACCATCGGACGGTCAAGAGTCAGGCGGTCAAGAGCCAAGGGTAACTGCTATGCCAATTGAACCCTTCAGCTACTTCACATTCTTGCAACTCCACCCGTGTTTCAGAAGCGTTTCTGCAACTCAGCACTTGCCACCATCGGACGGTCAGGAGCCAAGGGTAACTGCTATGCCAATTGAACCCCTCACCTACTTCATGTTCTTGCAACTCCACCCGTGTTTCAGAAGCGTTTCTGCAACTTAGCACTTGCTGCAGACAGACTACATGGCCAGGTACGCCCGTGCTCGCCATGGGCTCGCTCCGGCAGCCGTCGTTCGTCGACAAGGTAGGCCTTCGCCGCCCCACTTCCATCTCTCCTCTTTTTTTTCGCCGCCTCACTTGTCGTCGGCGGGGCAGCCGGCTGCCCTGCCGCTCAAATCTCTCCTACCACGAATCTAGATAGGGATTGCCAAGCCACCACCGAACGTCGGCGACAGTGCCTGAGATCCGCGTGGCCTGGTCGTTGTTCCAGCGGTGCGCGGCACAGCACATGGCCTCTCCATCGATGTTGTCGGCGTCGAGGGAGCCCTCCCTGCTGAACCATCCCGGCTCTGCGTGGCATTTTTTCTAAAACAAAGCCCTTGTTGCAATAGTTGTTTCTGAAACAAAGCTCTTGTTGCGAAGAGAAATCATACGCAGAGATGTTTTTGCAACGTCACCAATGCTTCTGAAACAAATATCTTGTTGCAATAGTCACCAATGGGTTTCTCAAACAAAGCACTTGTTGCAATAGTCACCGTTGTTTCTGAAACAACACTCTTATCTGATTTTATCTTTGTGGGCGCATCGGTTTAATGAACCACATGAGGGCGTACTAGCCTGGTAAACCACTACATACAACCAAGACCAACAAACCCTAGTCACTCTCTTGGCTGAAAGCTTATGCAGGATGAACACTTGGCCAGTGGCCACGCCCCAAAAAAAATCTGTTAAACACGAGTGAAGAGCCAGTACGTATTCATCAATGTGTCAAAAAATCTCCTATCACACACGACGATGATACTGAATGATTTACCGTGTTACATCCAGAATTGCATCAGCAACAACTGCGTAGTACCGTGTTACATCCAGAACTGCATCAGCGTCAACTGCATATTGCCGTGTTACATCCAGAATTGCATCAGCATCAACTGCATCCGCGAAAAATAAAGCATGAATGAACGAGCCAAGCAGGCAAGCACCAATTGTTTGATACAGTATATGTTACACGGGTCAATGATATACAGTAGTAAATCAAATCTGCCGTCTGTTCTGTTTAGTGAATCATCGTGCGAGCTCCTTTCCACGTGTAATTCCCAGAGGGTGCGGATAAAACCTTCTGTGGCCGATTGGTTTCAGCGTCCATTAACCTGTTGCGTGCTATCTGTATCATTACTCATCCTTGAGCCAGTGCTGAATGATGTAGACGACAAAGGAAACACAGAACACTACTGAACCAAGGACGACCGGAATTTGAACCCACAACGAGGAAGCAAAAGCAT